AATGCAAGGAACAAGAATACGGACGAAGCACAGAAAATCCAGATTTGCGAAATTACACTGAAGTCCAAGTAGTCAAGGCACGAAACAGATAGTATAATGGAACCGAGCTTCCGTCCATCTGAGAATGATACAGCATAATCGTGATTCAATGTCCGAGCCCAACAGGGCAACACTACAGCATAACTCAATGTAGCTCTCTCTCTTGAATGGACCTGGCTTCCTATCTACTCTACAGCCTGGAAGCAATCGGACATCTTGACTACCAGCGAGTGATGATGTCTATACCAAGGCCTACGTCCTCTTTACCCAGGTACGTCTCTTTCTTCACAACACCCTCCAACGCATAGATGCCCCGAGTATCGAGGTCATGGGTGTATAATAATAATAATAATAATGATAATAATAATAATAATAATAATAATAATAATAATAGTAATGATAATAATAATAATAAAACAGAAATAATAATAATAAACGCAATGGAATTAAGTAACAGCGAGATGTCAATCCCAGATCACACCATCACATTGAAGCCAAATAGCCACTTTGTGTCCAAAGAGCAACATTGCACTAATACTACACCGATGGAGATTCGTAGTACTGAAAACCAATGTCCATCAAGAGTATATTCTCCTCCCAACACAAGATTCCTGTCCCTTCATACGTACACTTGGCGCTCAACGCCCAGCCTACTCCTACACTGCTACTACAGACTACAAAAGGTTAATGCAACAGTTGACATCTGCGGCAGCCCGGAGTACTTGAGTATTTCGGTCATTGCAGACCACCGTCAACGTCAGATATGTGTTCTCACATCATCATCATTATCACCATCATCATCATCATCATCATCATCATCATTACTACCACCTTCTTTCTCCCCTTCTCTCTCTCTCTCTCTCTCTCTCTCTCTCTCTCTCTCTCTCTCTCTCTCTCTCTCTCTCTCTCTTTTCTCATTTTCTCTCTCCTTTATGCGCACATACATACTGTCGAGGCTGTAAAGGTGCAGATTAGAACAAGAACCGTCCTCTTATACACGGTACAGATAGCGTAGGAGAAGACTTAGATACAACACCTAACCTGACCGGGACTGACCTTTATCACGCAGTGCAAGATAGCGCAGTAGGATACTCAGAACACTAATGACTAGCCCAATCAATGTTGCAAAGCAGACCAACATACATCATTCTTACCACACGGTGTGATGGGCCTGGCACTACACACAGGAATAGGTGTCGCGTCCATTTCGTGCGCAGACGAAGACGTAGGGAGGGAGAGATCGGATTGTCGTCATCACCAAGTTTTTGTCACCAATCCTAAATAACCCCCTCGCAGCCATGCCCGAAGTCCCGAAGTTGTGTCTGGATTCCGATGTCACCAAGCCCACTCTCTCATAGCCCGCTGATGCCGTGAAGTCAGGTAGTGAGGGAGCGAGAGGGAGATCGTGTTTTGAAAAGAGGAAGAAGAAGAACTTTCTTCCTCTCTCGTGCCAGGCACTAACCTGTGAAAAATGGCGCCCGTGCAGACTATCGCCAATCCATGGTAAGTGCCCTTACGTTATCATCATCACCATCACTTCCCCCGACATCATCATCAGCGTCATCATCATCATTATTGCCTTCCATACCGTCAACCCGACATTCATCAGCATCATCATCATTTGCCATCGTCGTCAATCGTCATCATCATCATCACCAGCCCGTTATCATCACCTTCTGCATCATCGCCCTGTCGTCATCATCTTCTCCTTTTTTTTTTTTTTTTTTTTTTTTTATGTGATGAAGAAGACTGAATGGACAATGCTGTGTAATCGAAATCTTGACAAGCAATGAGCATGCCCATACATACACAGTGGTGCTGAATGGCGCAGGGAAGACTTAGCCATAAATCCTTATCTGACCGAAATCGGTCTTTACTACGTAGTACAGGATAGCGAGGCAGGATGCCAGAGCACTAATGACTAGCTCAATCGAAGTTTCAACGCAGACCAGACATTCATCACCCCCATCACAAGGCGTGCGAGATCACGTACAGACGACGAGGAGGGGATCAAATGGAGAAGAGGAGTGTTAACACCAAGTCTTTGCCACAAGTCGCAAATATTTCCCCATCGCTATGTCTGTAATCCAAGGTCGAATCCGGATCAAAATCGTCAAGCTCTTTCCCTCTTCTCGTCCTCACACACACGCGCAACCTCGTCGCCTACTGTACCTGTGTAGATCGGATCGAGAACCGTCCTCTCGTACAAAGTACGAGATAGCGTAGTGGAAGGCTTTGGTATCGATGATCCGAACAACCAATATTGTAATGCAGTCCCGAACATGCATCATCATCATTCATTCCATGGTGTGAAGGGGTCTGGCGTTTTACACATGAAGACTGCGTCAGCCCAAACCATACACAGACGAAGAAGATGGGATCAGACGAAAGGAGGGGATCAGACGAAGAAGAGGAGAGAATGGGAATGTCGTCAATACCAAGCCTTCGGCACAGGCCCAAACAGTCCCTCGTCAAAAAAGAAGGGAATGTCGTCAACACCAAGCCTTCGACACAGGCCCAAACAGTACATGAAATAGTTAAGTATGACAACGCACCTTTCCTTCCCCCACACCCTTAGTCTTTTGTCCAGGTATTCGTTGGTTGTTTTCAGGGCTGGTGTTCGCGTACAAACTCAAACCGTCAAACGCTGGTCCTAACCGAGACCTTGGGTATTCAACTCTCGATATCACAATCCAAAGTTGCCTTTCGTCCTGCCTGAAGCTTAACACAGGAGGACAACGGTCTCCATCTCGACCCACCACAGTCCTGCAGATCAGGCCGGAGCTGCGGCCCACCGCGTTGTTGCTTATCGGTGGTTACCCTCTTTGGTTGCGAAACGAGGGGATATTCAACCTATCTTTGAAATTTTCTAATCTCGACCCCTTCGACATCCACCTGAATAGACCCCTTCATTGGGGTGGCCACCCCTCTAGTTTCTCTTTTAGGCCATAATCGAAGGGTCCGCTGCCCGGTTATGCTAGGTCGGCAGCCCACGCTGGGAGTTACGTCCCAACGATGTCAATTTTCCACCATAGGCTTCGTAATTTGTGCCCTCAGGTTAACCCTTGAGGTGGATGAACGATGTTTTTTAAATAAACCAAATAAATGAGATTTCCAATAATTGAGCATTCGTCAGGCTGCCACTCAGGGTTGTGCCCTCCAAGTCTTTGATCATAGCTCGGTGGGGCACGCACCTCGGGGTCATTTTGTATATATATAACCATTATTTATATATATATACATATATATATATAACCATTATTTTTAAAATAGACTTTTATTGACTCTTTGCTTGTCAGAATTCACAAAAATAAAACATCACTTTCATAGAAATTTTCGAAAAGAATTTCTGCAACAGAAATGATAAGACTAAATGGAGTCTACACATGTCGTAGCATGGTTTCAAACAAGAAATGTACAATAAATCCAGTTTTTGAAGCTTCATAAACTCGTCAAACTTTCACATGAGATACAGATCCGCCCATTCCTCTATCACCTCCTTAGGTCTCAACAGAGTCTTAGTAGTGATAGACGAAGAGAGATCTTAGGTTATCAGAGACTCAACCAAAGACAAAGGCGCACACACAATGTGACAAGTGTGTCATGTTCACCAGCTCATTCCCCTGAATAATATATATAAATACAAGTAGGTCACAGGGTCAGATCACCATTTCCCCTCTACTATCCCTCAAACACTGCTCATGTCATTTCCTATATTACTTCCTATGCTAAGTCTCCTCATCTGACTGAAGAAAAGCACACAACTTGTTTCATTCCTGTCTCTCATGTCCTACTGAAGAAGAAAATACACATCTCCTTGCTCTAATTTTCACCTTTCTCTCTCTCATAGCTGTCTTTTTAAGCCAATTCAAGTCATAGTTTACTCAAAACATCTACGTATTTCTTCCTAGAATTCAACTGGTAGTCCCAGTATCCTGTGAAGTGCTACCCTGCCTCCCTCAGGTATCCTGGGAATTGTCTGCCCTGTACCGGCCACCAATCTCTTATGACTATCATATTTGGCTTTTCCTTCCTTGATATAAATTGCCAGAATGGAACATTCATCTCTGAGGTGCCCTTCCTGAGCGCAGAAGAAACATCTTTGTCCAATCATGCTAGGCTTGATTTTCTTTATGTCTGGCTGGATTAAAGTCTCAGCCTGATCTTTAGCCACCTTTGGTAAGTCCAACTGGGATTCCCTTTGCCTTTTACCTTGTCCTAGCAGAGGCATAGCCACACTCTCACCTTTTTTCTTTTCGGGTGCAGGAGGCTCTTCTTTCTTCTCCTCAGTCTGTGCCCCTTTCTCTTCACCCTCTTTTCTTCCCACCATCTCTGTGGCTTCCTTCTCTTTCTCCTGTTGGCTCAATCTGAATTTTTTCATTCTTCTCAATATCTCTTCCCATTTTTTCTCCCACTCTTGTCCCAACTTCTTTCTTTCTGAGATTTCATTGTCCAAGTCCTGCCCTAGCACACTGACCTCAGAAACCAGACCATCCACCCTTATTTCCATCTTAGCTCTTGTGCCCACTTCATTTTCCAGTTCTCTGCTTTGCACATTCAGGGAGGCCCTTAATTGGCTCATTTCTTTTTGCAATTCCTCCTTCTCTTTCTTCAATTCCCTTACTTCCTTCCTCATTTCTTCCAGACTTCTCATCAACTTCTCTACCTGGCCATCCTTCTCATCTTCCTTCTTTTCTATCTCACTTGTCTCTTCCTTGTTCCCAATCGGCCTCTTTCCCTCAGTTCTCTTGACTTTGGGAGCCTTGCCTCCTCCCTGGACCTTCTTTCCTTCCTCAGCTTTTTCCACTCCTTCCCCTTTTTCACTCACCCTTTATTGTACCTCTCTTCTTCCACTCTCAATTGCCCTTCTCTTTCCAAGTTTCTTCTTCCATGGCACCATACTGGCCCTCATGCTTCTTTTCCTCTCTTCTGCTGCCTCCTCCTCTTCCTGTTCATCTCCCTCAGCCTGCTCAGATTCATTTGTGCTGCCCTTGGGGGAGATCCTCGCCTTGTTCTTCAACTTCTTCAGAGGTACATTATCCTCTTATTCATTCTCTTCCTCCTTCCCTTGTGGCTCAGTCATCTCTCTTCCAATCCATAGCCCCTTCTTTTGCAGCCTTTCCTTTCTTGCCTGGTCTTGCCTGGCTTGGGTGTAGGCTATCCACAATTTTGCCGTTATCCTTTTCCAGGTTCAACTTCCTTCCACAATTCCTCTTACTTCCTCCTTTTCGCCTTTGTCTGATTTTGTGATCAACTGCTTCCTTTTTTCCTCCTCGCGCCATTCGCCCCTCTCAGCGGTCATCTGCAAGCTCTCAACAAAGTCCTCCAGATTGGTCCCATCGAACCTCAAGTCATCCTCCACATCATCCCCTGGGAATTCCCCCATGTCTCTCCATAGTGTCACCTTGCATATTCTCCATCTTGTGCAACCTGCCACCGCTCCTTCAATTCTCCTCTTGTACATTCCTGCTCCTCTCACACTCGCATTTTTTTCCCTGTCACCCCATTCTCTCCTGAAAGCGTACTCTTCAAGGTCTTGCAGGAAAACTCGCAGACTGTCTCCAGCCCTGTAAATGGGCAACTCCTCCAGGTTCCTTGAGATCCTCTGTTCCCTCCTCTGCCCCCCCTTTCTCAAGGTAGGTCCAGAGGGCCCTGCTTCTGCTCCTCTCTGCGCCATGGCCTCTTCTTTTCTAAGGGTCACGCCTGCACACAGAGAAGGAGCAAATGACAGGTACGAGGGTCAGATTATCACCAAAGCAACATCCCTTGTTAAACACAAGTTGATAATGTCCTCCTTTATCAAGTACTTACATACACGCACATATACACATATACATATATATATATATATATATATATAAAATATATACATATATGAGCGTATATACCCACACATATTCCCCACTTATACCCTTCTGCATCCATTTATGTACACATAAACACACATATATATATATATATATGTATATATATGCATGCATGTATCCATATATGTGTGATCATATTCTTGGGCAGTTTGGTACATACCTGCATAGAAACTGATACACATATGCATGCCTAAATACTTTCTCAATCTATTCAAGCTTTCGTATCGTAGTTGGGCTTACCTCTTCTCTGATTCGGAACTTCTTCAGTCTAGATCCTGAAACCCAGTCTTTCCTTGGAGTCTCATCCATCTCTTTTAGCTCATATGCCCCATGAAGTCCCTGTCTCCTGACTTTGAATGGTCCTAGCCACCTTTTGTCCAATTTTCGCGACCACTGCATTTCCAAAGAAGAATCGTAGAGTAGTACTGTCTCGCCAACTTGTAGAGGTTCGAGTCTTACTCTAGGTAGCTTGTCCCATCTTTCCTTATCCTTTCCTCTGCTGTCTGCAACATTCATAGTCACTTCCTGCACCCTTTCTTCAGTGACGCTGATCTGTCTTGCCCTTAGATCTAGCAGTTCGTCCAAAGTCAAGTTGTTCTTCAGGTCCTGTCTGCGCCAAGTTTTCATGAAGCTTTCAATAGGAAATGTGGCGTGACGCCCATACCAGAGTGTCGCAGGTGCATACCCAGTCGTTCTCTTTACAGTGATGTTCTCCACAAAGAACACTGTTCTTAAGAACTTTGGCCAGAGATTCGGCTTCCCACCGGTCCATTTGGCCAACAAGTTAGTAATTGTGCTATGACCTCTTTCGACTGGAGCATTCGCCTGTGGATGAGCCCTAGTCGTATAGTTACCATTGACCCCCAATTCCTTCAGCAGTTCCTTCACTTCGCCGCACATGAACTCAGACCCCCTATCCATCGTGAATTCCAATACGAAAGGATATCTGAGATAATATTCTTTAATACAATCCGTCAGCGTTGCCCCGGTCTTGTTTCTGATCGCTCTGCCATCAACGAATCCTGTAAGGTTGTCCCTTGCGTCGAATATATAGTTATATCCTCCAAGACCTAGTGGCATAGCCAGTAGATCCAGGTGAACAACCGCCCCTGCTTCCTTGATATATATAGGATGCAGGGGTTCCTTGTACATGATAGGCGATCGAATGTGAAAGGGTACACACGACTCACAGTATTTTCGCGTCATCTCAAACATCCCTTCCCAGTAGTAGAGCTCCATCGCCTTTTTGTAAGTAGCCGCGAACCTCCGATGTCTCTCGACTATCCCATCGTGCAATGCAGCTACTACGTCAATCTGACGATTCCTCCCACATACGACACATCGCGACGGCCCCCTCTTATCCCTGATAAACAAGTGGCCACCCCTTACCACATAGTGGTCTCTCATCCTAAGAGTCTTTTCACTTACTTCTCTCTCTCTTTTATCTCCTGAGAGGATCAATATCATTTCTAAATAGAACCCATCATACTCCTCTTCCCTGAATTCTTCTGAAATTTCTTCTTGTTCAAACTCTCCTTCCTTCTCTTCATCAAACTCGTAATCATCCCCAATAATTATTTCATCGGCCTTCACTATTCCTCTTTCATCACTCGCTTGGACTTGTAACAGTGAATTTGTCAGGTAGTATATTCTTCCCATCATGGATATCTGTTCGTCAGTCTGTTGGACTCCCGCTTCGATCGTTCGCGGTTTATCCATTATCCTATAGTTCTCCGCCAGAGCCAGCTCCATCATCCATTCCGTGTTTCTTTCGCCCCAAGAGTCCTCCTCCTCTAATGGTGTGAGTATCAGGGAAGACTCTCTCATAAATTCCGGAGGCGGATGCCACATCGGATTTCCTCTCCTCATTTCTTTACTCTCGACGAACATGAATCAACACTTTACGTGAGTTCGCATGTCTTCCCCGTCGTCCAAAAATCCGTCTACCAGAGGCGTTTCTTCATTAGATTCCCCTTGATTTCCCCACTCAATTCTGCTCATGCCGTCTGCCCTGTTCTTGTTCCCAGGGATCCGCTCCAGCTGGAAGTCGAACATCCAGATATAGGTGAGTCATCTGGCTATGGTCGGATCTGAGGGCGAGAAGTTTTTGAGTGAGTATACGAGCGCCGTAGGATCAATCCTGAGCACAAACCTCCTCCCAAAGAGGTAGTGCTCAAAGATCCTTAGGCAGTGCAGGACCGCCAAAGCTTCCTTTTTAAACTGCGAGTAGTTCCTTTCTGCCGAGTTTGGTGTCCTGCTTTCGAACCTCAGCGACCTCTCCTTTCCTTCACTGTCTGCCTGAATCAAGACGCCTCCCAAGGCGGTTGGTCCAGCGTCAGTTTTAACTATGAAAGGTCTTTCCATAGTCGCATCAAAGTCTGGTACCCTTAGTACCAGACCTCCTTCCCTGAACTCCTTCTTCAATTCTTCCACCACTTCCTCCTGATGGTTTCCCCATTTCCATTCTTGATCCTTCCGGACTAGCTTCCTTAGATGCTCTGTTTTGCTAGCAAATCTTTCAATGAATCTCCTCCAGAACCCACAAGTACCAAGGAAACTTCGGACTTCACCCACATTTCTGAAAGGAGTAGGCCATTCCAGGATTTTATTGGTCTTCTTCTTATCAGGGCGCCGACCATGCTCGTTGCAAATGTATCCTAGAATGGTTACTTCTTTCACGCAGTGTCTTGACTTCACACCACTGGCGGTGAGGTTGTACTCACCTGGTAAAGATAAGACTTCCCTTAACCCTTGAACATGTTCCCATACAAACTTTCTCACCCCTAGAGCCACTTCGGACTCATCCTTCTCTATTGGGCCTTTGACGACAAGATCATCTATGTACGGCTCGGTGATTTGAGGGCTGATTGGCTGCATAACCCTGATCATGCTCCGTTGCACCATGGCCACAGCATTGGTTCATCCTTGCGGCGCAACATTCATATGGACTAATCCCCTTGGCGTGTGCATCGCCGTGATGGGACGGTCTGCTGGATAGACCGGAAACTGATCATATCCAGAGTAGAGGTCGATGAGGGACACAATCGACCTACCTGCACAAGCTTCTGATAACTGGTCAGCAGTGGGCAAACCTCCTGCCTCCCTTACAGTTACCGCGTTCAGTCGTTGGAGGTCTTGCACCCATCTGACAACTCCATTTGACTTTACAAAGCAAAACCAGGGAGAGGCATATGGTCCACTGGAGTACCCTGCCACATCCGTGCGGATCTTCCCATCTAGGTACTCTACCACCCTTCTGCGATCCTCAGGGTTGGGATACTTAGCTCCTCGGACGTTCCATGACTCATGAGGTACAGTATAAATACGGATAATTTTTATCTTGTCCACATCCAGCCTCCCACGTTGATCATCATTGAAGGCATAAGCCCCATGTTTTTCACGTATCAGTTCTTTTACCAAGTCCTCCTCTTGTCTTGTCAGAAAGCCAGGTTCCCCTATTATCAGTTCTTTCTCAGTCTCATCGTCGATACGACAAGGCCCGTTCTGAATGCCTTCCCTCATTTGCTGTATCAGTTCTCTTTCCTGATCATAATACACCCCTTCTTCTTGACTCACTAGAACTGGCACAGGGTGACTCTTCCTATCTACCGTCTTGTACCTCCTTTTGGAGCCCTGCTTGAGCCCACCCCTAAAAAATGCTGACCGGCAGCTTGAGCATTTGGCGCATGCGGCACTATTATCTGAGTAGAAGGAGGTGGCCGGTAAACGAGATCGACTCTTCCCCCTTCTGGATCATCTTGGATCCTTTCTGTGAGTGCCCTGACCGCGTCTGGATCATCCATCCTATAAGCCGATACCAGTTTCACTGCGTCACTGATATTTGTTAGACTTAATACAAGTCCTTTGACTTCTTCATCATCTGATTCCTCTTCTTCTTCTTCCCATTCGAATTCCCTCCTCCTATTCTCAGATTCCTCGAACGTGTAAGATCCTCCATTGAGTCTGTTCTTCGAGCTGTGTGGGCCTGTGTTCCTACAGGTGATAACCTCGAAGTTCCCACAGGCAGGATCGCACAAGATGACGAACATAGTGCCGTCAGGCTTGTTCATAATGAGTGATTCAAATCTGCACAGGAATGACCTTCCCAGCAATATTGGAAGGTCCAAGCTGGGCATCACGTAGAAGCACGTACGTACCTTGACTCTTCCTATTCCTATGACCACATTTGATGCGACACCGGTGTATCCGGTCTTGCCGCTGGCTCCGTTGAGGAACCCTCAATCATTCTCATCCACCTCCAACCCTAATTTTACCGCGGTTTCTCCATTTACAATATTCATTTCTGCCCTGGTATCAACCATCCCAGGATACATCTTTCCCTTTATCATAACATCAATGGACCCTGTGCCTACGAATTTCCAGACCATTTTACTCCCTGCCACGCTCCAGTTTGCCTCTTTGGGAATCAAATCCCCCATCCGGACTGAGGCTACTCTCCGGCGTGATAACCTAGCCTTCACCATCTCTCTTAACTTAGGAGCTGAAGCGAGGATTTCTTTCAGGTTTAATAGTTCATTGTGCCCCTCCAGTAGTTTATTCACCAAGCCTTCCAGATCCACCCCTTCTTCGATCGAGGTTTGGTACTTTCTTTTCTTGCTTGGTCCCGTATCCCCTTTTGATCTTCCTTCCTTAGCTTCGCCTTTCCTTCTCTTAGCTCTTATTTTCGCCTGCCTTTCTTCTTCCTCCCTAATCTTCTCATCCTCATCCTCATCACCCTCTACCGTGATAGGTGGCTCTTCTTCTGCTGAATGGGAAGCTTGGGCTTGTTCCCTTTGAGGATTCCCTCCTGCGGGCCTTCTTGTAGCGAATACAATTGTTCCTCTCATACTTCTCTGACTTCCACTGTTCCTTGCGGCCATATTGGCTCTCAACATTCTCGGGTTGGGTTCATGTGGTCCATCTCCCGTTCCCCCACGCCCCATGGTAAATACCTTCGTACATCCTGCCCTTTTTTTTCTTGCTTCTTCACATATCCCTTGAAGTCTCAAATGCAGCCTTTGCATTTTATTCACCAGATCCTCCATCCTATCAAACGTGTCCCTGACGGTAATCCTAATGTCATCCTCTTCTGCTTCTTCTTCCACGAGGGGCACGTCTTCCTTGCTTCCTTCGATCCCCATCTGGTTCATTTTTTCTTCTGGTCCTCCCTTTTCTTGCCACATTCTGAACATTCCCGGCGCGTTGGGACCTAGCGCGGCTATGCGAAGGGCCTCTTCTCTAGTGCCTCCCAGAATCTCAGGATCGATCGGCCTTCCTGTTCTGTCAAACACCTCGCCATCTATGTTTGATGTTATGAGTCCATCGCGCTCGTCAAGTTTCCTGACGTGGCATCGCTTTACTGTGTGCCCTTTGATTCCACAGTGGGTACAGGTGCATTCGCTGTAGCCTATCCATCCTCTGCCAAAACCCTGTCCGTTCCATGACCCATTTCCTCTACCAAACCCCCTTCCATAGCCTTGGTCGTAACCACGACCATACCCCTGCTGGTATTCTTGCCCTACCAGATTCGCACCCCCTTGGAACTGTCCCCTGTTTCCACCTTGATACCCACTTCCTCTATTTCCTGCTCCTCGTTCCCCTGGTCCCTAATTCCTACCAGCATTTCTACCTCTTCCACGTCCTTGTGCTTGTCCTTGCCCTTGGGACCTGTTCTGGTTTTGACCACCCTGGCGACTCGATTCTCGTTGGTTTTGCCTTGTTAGTTGAAGTTGTCCCGTGTTTTGGTTTCCTCCCAAATTCTGATTCTGGGGTAACATGGGATATGGACCCTGCGTAGGCCATGGCCCTACCGGGAAGTACCCAGGCCATGCTCCCATAGGCGGACCCACGGGCCATTGACCATATTGCGCTGTGCTTGTTGATGGCTCATGTCCATACTGGACTATTGCCTGTTGAGTAACTTGTCCTTTTCCTGAGCCTTGTCCTCCGATAGCGATATTTTTAGCTTTCCTCTGATTCTTGGTCAGTTTGCTCATTCCTTCGGGTTCCCCTTCTTTAGCTTCTTCTTCTCCATCTCCCCCTTCCTTCCTCCTCTTTCCCGATGGTTGTGTCACTGTTAACACTTTTGACGAGGTCACTCTTTCCCTAAGCTCTTTTATCTCATTTGTCATATTGCTCAACATTCCTCGAAGTATACTATCCGTTCCTTGGAGCGTCCCTACTGCCTTTCTCTTCTTTCGTTCGACCTTGATTTGGTGATGGAACACTTGGTCCATGTTTCCTGCCGCGATGTTTCTTTTGATGGTATCCCAGGTTGTCTTTCTCCCAGCGGCTCCTCCTCGAGTTAGTTCCATTGCCTCATACCCAGAGAATTTCCCTAGGAAAATGACGCACTGCATCTCTTCAGACAGCCTCGGGACCCTCTCGGCTGTCTTTTCGAATGTATTGGCGAACGCCCTGATCGTGGTGAAGTCATCTCTGTTCATGTTATAGAGATGGTCAATCGTGAGCATGCCGTCTCCTAGCTTAAATGTCTTCTGCATGCCCCTCTTAAACTCAGCCCAATCATTGTTGGACTTTTTCACTACCTCTTCCACGTCAGAGGTGCATTCCCACCATACATATTCGAACAATTGGGCAAACTTCTCGGCTGGGGTCAGTTGGTTGAATATCTGCTCGAGTACTTCCAACCAATGCGTCACCCTATCCCCTTTGAATGGGAAGATGTCTATCCTTGGTATGTTAGATCTTTTTATCGTCCTCTTCTCCAGCAACTTGGCGATTTCCGCCGCGGTGATTGGTGGATCTCCGTTGGCGCTGGCTTCGCCCATCTTTTTCACTTTTTCTTTCTTGGTTGCTGCTAGACCGTAGACCCTGTTAAGACACACAAAACGACCATTGATCCACCCTCTTTGTCACTATCTTGACGTAACTCTTTACGCTATATGACTTTTCATACCTCTTTCTCTCATCCGAGTATCTCTTCTAGGGACACCAGTCCCCATGCTTAAAGTTTCTAACCATACCAAATAAAGAAGAGATCTCATCTATAAATTCTTCGATACATGCCTCCCGGCAAAGATGCGCCAGTAGGTCGAGATATCTTCCAAACGGTAGATGCGTAGATACGTGTTTACCACGCATAGTATGTTATAAAAATCCCTATTCTCTAGTTTCGGTCCCATCTCTAAGTATAGATGGTAAACAACTTTTGAAGCCTCAAATTTGAAGCCCATCTCTGGAACAGCTGGGACTGCGAGTACTGCCCGTTCTACATTCTCAATCCCCCAAAATGCTTCATCAATTATGAAGTTCGGAAGCGTGGTTTTAATATACCTTGTTGGATATACGAACTCAGCGGTCCACTTTGCTTCGATTGATTTTATAACTTTTCTTTCTTCTTTCCAATACATTCTTCTTGAAAATGCTTCAAGGGCCATTTCGGCTATCAACACGTATCTAGAGACGGGGCGGCTTTCTCCTATCGCAAGATCGACCGCGTGTGCCCTCCAGAGAAGGGTCGGTAGATAAAGCGTCACCTTTACTATTGCCTGTATTTCCCTCGCGGTCCACCCGGTTTCTATCCAAAGGAGGGTTTCTAGTCCTATTGGCATCCCACACCATGACTCAATTTCTTCATTCACATCTATCGTTCTCTTCGGCAACGTCATCTTAACCCCTCCTTCCTTTGGCTCGGGCAGGTTGATCAGAAAACTCCAATCAGCGAACCACATTAAAGGAGCCATCCTGGTATTCCTGTTACTACAGCCAAAGAAAGAATCTTTCTTTTCTTAGTAACCACTCGATTTCCCATCTCCCAATAATTTTCTATCTCAGCCTTCCTTAAGCATTCCTTCTTATTTGATCTATGATCTCCTGCTTCAGTTCCTCCCAGTAAACATGCCTATTTTTCCAATCGTGTTGACGTGCATATAAGTGAACCCGAGATAGTATGCTTTGCAGATCCCTTTCTGCAATTAAATGCCTTATTTCTAAGTACACGTAATATATCAGGAGAGGGGTAGATGCGTGACATTCCCTCTCAGGTACTGCCATAGCGGTTTCCGCAACCCTTTCCACTCTGGTCCTCCCTCCGAAGGTTGCATCTATGATGAACATAGCAAGGGTTCCTCTTAGATATGCTGCTGGCGGAAGAAATTTGCTAGCCTTTCTTACCCTCACAGTTCCTATCATTCCTTCAAACTCATTCAAGCTTGCATCTCTTCCCCTAGACTCGAGCGCGGATTCTGCTATCCACAATAGTTTGGAAAGAGGTCGATTAGTTCCTAAGACTATATTTATTATGATAGTTTGCAATTTCTCCACAGAAAGATATACGGTAACCCTTTTTACTGCGCGATTTTTTTTTTTTTGCCTCTAACCCATCCAGACTCGATCCAAATGAAAGTTTGTTCCTCTACAGTAGTCCCCCAGCAATACCCCGTCCTTTCGTTTTCCTCATGACGACTTGGCAAATTCATCATCAGGCCATGCCTCATTTGCACGGGCTCTCTGATCGTGACTTGATATCGGGCAGAAGCCATCTTCTTTTCTTTGGTATACTCCACCTACTACACAACACAATCCAGCCCACATCTCTTTTACTTTAACTAGTAGACTTATAATCCCAAGATCTGACTGATTCTCCTTTCTATCCCATCATCTCCTTTGATCCTTTTGAACCTTTATATAATCTTTTTGTACAGTAAGTATGTTACTAACCCATAGATCTCTATTTGACATAGTAGAAACATTAAAAACGATATGCACCTCCTCCTATCAGGACACGCAGACTGCGCAATTACAAGAGGATCACGCACGTTTGGTGCCCCGCGGGGCCCCGATTGGCGAGGCGGGGAGAGGATAGTCAACTGCCTCTCTTGAGATGGTGGGTAAGGGCTATGATGCGATCGTCTAGGCAGCTCGAAGCGTGGCGGAGATTCTCCGTAACGCCTTGCGTACCTATACGAATACTAAGCCATCTCATCAGGATCTGGGGTATGCATACGCCTCTCCTCCCGATACCGTCTCGCCCTTACCCCTTCATCCTTATCTTCTAGGCCTTCATCATTTTTTTTCCACTCTTCCCTATCTCTAGTCAAGTCTACAGGCCTTTCAAGCGCCTTCCCTTGTCTGCCGCCTCTTCCTCTACCAGCTCCGGCCCCACGCCCCTTAGGTGCCATATTCGCTAACTCTTAGTATAAGTAGGGCAATCGTATTTATGTGTATTTAGTCTCTATTTTACACACCGATTTTACATGGAGCAACTACTCGTCACCAGCTATTAGAGTCTTAGTTAATAACCGAATCTTCAATAATTGTCGTTCTGCCTGGATCTTAATTTACCCGAGTTCGTTCACTAAGGACCTCGGCTAGAAGCGAGATCCCCGGCAACGGTGCCACCTGTCGCGCGCAACGGTCCCACACCCATACACAGAGTAGTTTTTGGTGTCGGACCTCACGGTCGTGTCACGCAGGAGTTCCCCTTTTCTTACTTTACGCAATACCAACTCCGACCGTGAGCGCGTGCTATACCTCTCGCGACTCCCTACGACAGGTTAGGGATCCCGCGAGGTACAACATACCTCCACCTGCGGGAGCTGTCACCATCCCTTAGGTGGGCGTATCCCTGCTGAGCTACTTACCCACGTGCGAAGGCTTTTACATGCAATTGCAGAGGTAGGTCAGCCGAGGGCGTTTTCTCGATCGTCGTAGCATAGGCATACGCGCAGTAGAACACCTTAAGACTGACCCGTATGTCGAGCCCTAAGATGCTAACTCTCCGGACCGACTATCTAATCAGGTCGACTTCTCAGGCAGTCTTCCACGCTTAGCTAACTATGACAGAGTTAAAACCCTTAGTAGTTTCTCATTCTTCCCAAAAGAAGTCCCAGACAAATGACTTCCTAGATACCGACCAACCTACTATCTCACTCACAGATATGTGTATAAGTATGTTTATAATATCAGGGGAGCTGAATGAGCGGTGGACCTCACTTTCACAGTTGTTGTGTCCTGCTGTCCGAGTATCCCAGGTGATCCCAAACTCAGAAGACAAATCAATGCTCCACACCTGTGTAGATGCACGAACCACATACAAGCATACAGATGCAGACACAGAATGTGCTACACACGTCAACCTTTAATCCATTCATAACATGCCACTCATGCCCCAAACCCTTGAAAAGAACATTCCTTCCTAACCCTGACTCCACTTTACCCCAGCCCCACACATTTTTCGAAGACTCCTGAGTGTGATTTGGACAATTTAGGCATAGATACAGGGGGAAGATTTATCTGTTCCCTTCTTAGGTCTTGTCTTAGGTGTGAGTGTCAAGCCATGATGGAAGTTGAGTCGGAGTTCTACCGACCTGTTATCAACGGAGTTCTACCGACCTGTTATCAACTGATAACAGAATTGTTGTTCTTACGGATTGTCCCGTAAGTTCTTCAAAGTGTCGAAACCTGTAGACACAACACAGTCCAAAAGAAACTTAACATCTAACTAAGATTTAGAAGTTCCCTCTAGACTCTGTGTCTTTTATCTGACCCCTACCTTTTACCAATTGTTTGGGCTGTCGCCTTTCTGCCTCAGGTAGTGAACAATAATTCACTCCCCTTCCACTGTCACGACAATTCTTCATATTCCTTTTTACTATGTCATTCTTATCCCTTTTTTGGATTATCCTATCTGAGGTCCCTTTTTTTTTTTTTTTTTTTCCAACACACATGATCACATCATCAATTCAGCTTGTGGAAAGAATCTCATGGAAAGGAATCAGATGGATGGATAGTCTTTCTCTGAGGCAAGGTCTCACTTATCCCCTTTTAGCAGAATCAGAGATAGTTAGTTAGGACTGAACAATGCAGATTGTGGAGAAAGYTAGAGGTRGTATGGYAGACCATTCAGGATATATGATATATCCGCTTTGATTGACAAAGRTCACWTAGTGGGCCTTGGCCCCTGTGTGCCAAGCACATTTAGCGGTAGGCTTATCCTATGGTTAGACACTGATAAGGCAGGTGTCCTTGAAACCTCGCTACTTCTTATATCGGATTGGTCACTGATAAGACAGGATTCCCTTGCTACTCTTATCACTGACTAACCCTCAATAAGGCGGGTACCCAAAGATCCTTACTACTCTTATCACTGACTAAACCCTAGGATGTTCATTGATAGGGCAGATGTCCTTGAAACCTCACAACTTCTTATATCGGATTAGTCATTGATAAAACAGGATTCCCCTGCTATTCTTCTCACTGATTAACCCTCAATAAGGCGGGTACCAAGGGTCCTTGCTTACTCTTACCATTGGAAAGAATGTTAGGTTTAACCAGTGATAAGGCAGGAGGCAGGTGTCCTTGAAACCTCACAACTCTTATATCAGACTAATCACTAATAAGACAGGATTTCCCTGTTACTCTTAACAGTGGCTAGCCCTCAATAAGGCAGGTGTCCGAGGATCCTTACTACTCTTACCACTGAAAGGAATGTTAGGTTTAATCAGTGATAAGGCAGATGTCCTTGAAACCTCACAACTCTTATATCATACTAGTCACTGATAAGACAGGATTCCCTGTTACTCTTATCAGTGGCTAGCCCTCAATAAGGCGGGTGCCAAAGGGTCCTTGCTTACTCTTACCACTGAAAGAATGTTAAGTTGGTTAATGATAAGGCAGGTATCCTTGAAACCTCACAACTTTTTTTATCAGACTAGTCACTGATAAGACAGGATTCCCCTGCTACTCTTATCAGTGGTTAGCCCTCAATACGGTGGGTGTCCAAGGACCCTTGCACTTACCACTGACCAAGCGTAAGGTTCATTTGGAGTTAAGGCAGGATTTCCCTGCTATTCTTACCCCACACAAGCCTTATCTGCGGCTCAAGCCATCGCTTTTGATGACATCC